ATGTTTCTCTCTCATCGATGTTTCTAACTCTCTATCTCTCTCCCTTCCTCTCTGTAAAAAATCAATAAAATATATTTTTAAAAATAAAAAAAAAATAAAAAATATGTTAAGCATCTACTATGTGTCAGGGCTGAAACAATAACACAATCTTGCATTTACTCAGTCCTTGCCATATGAGAGAGGTATTGTTAATTCCATGTCATATACCAGGAAACAGAGGTCCAGAGAAATGATGTCACTCATCCAAGGGAGCACAGCAGCGAGCTACAGAACTGGAATCAAACCTTGGAGGCTGCCACCTAAATGATAAGCCGTTTCCAGCGAATGTTCACTGTTGGGCTTGTGGCTGCTCATACCCAGGTCTCCGCACCTCGGCAGGCAGCCACAGAGTGGTTAAGCCCACAGCCATTCTGCTGGATTAAACAGAACAGGGGCGAAGGGATGAGCAGGAGCAGCAGAGAACCCCAGGACTGGGTTCTGACCACTTACATGCATTGTAGCTTTGTGGTTCCTGGAGTGGAATTCCAGAATGTTCCATCCAGTTCGATTCTGCATCTGCACATCTGTTCTCTGTGTGGGACCCATCATCAGCTCAAACAAAGCTGCAGCTCAGAGAAGAGCCCCTCCAAGCTCACTGGGATGGGGGTCTGCTGGATTAGGGGCTGACGGACCTTGTGGGCTGAACTCTCTCCCTTCACCATGCTGGGCCCTAGAAGATACTTCCTGTTCTGGAGGGCTGTCCTCAGGATGACGTAAGAGCATGAACACCCAGTGTTCCTGAATGCAGAGGTCTTTACTTATATACATCCGAGTGTCATTGCCAGGAGCCGGGCTGGCCTGCCTTGATTGACTTCTGGAGGCCTAGAGCAGACATTCCTGGCCTTCAGGACTGCATAGGTCAGGATAATTCTTTCTATTATAAATCTCAGTAAGTCACTTAGGATTGTCAACTTTTTTTACATACGATTTTTTTTTAATGACGGCCACAAACATTCTGTCCTAAAAGAAAAAGAAATTTAACAAAAAAACGCCGGACATAATATTGCAATTAAAAGTGGGTGTATTTAGCCTCGTGATAAATTACGTGGTCTATACTTTCCCCAATGTCACTTTAGACCAGTGGAGACTAAAGCAAGGACTGGCCCCTGGGAACCATTGCTGGAGATTGTGTGTGGTCTAAAGGTGTGTGGTTCATAGGTGTGTGGTTTATAGGTGACCTGGGCAGTGGGAGATGGGCTAAACTAGATCATGGGGCAGTCATGTGCACTGGGGGAACTGAAGAAAGGAACAGAAAAGTCATGTCCCAGAAAAAAATTTTAGTACCCATTACAAAATAGTGTGTGAACCATGACCCCCTAATTTGTAAAATACCCATACGCCTAAGATAGCCTCAGACGCACAGAAAAAAATAAAATAAAAATAACACTGGGAAGCTATACAACAAAATCTGATGGAAGAATAATGATTATGTTTATTTTCTCTGAGTTATTTCTTGCATTTTCCAAATCTTCCTGTTTTGTAATCAGAAACATAGAACCAATAAAGTAGAAAAAAAGTGATGCAAGAGGAATCATGCAACACACTGTGTAAGACCTTCGCCCGTGGTCTCCCCGGGACAGGCAGGATTTCGATGAAGCCACATCTTGGACTGAAGAAGGCTCATTGGGCTTGTGCTTGGCGTCACTAGCCTCCTGTCTTTGCGTATCTAGGGCTGGGGCTGGTGTCTGGCGTGTGGTGCAAGCTCTATTGCCATGTGTTGAGTGGACTGCTTCTTGTATTAGGCTGGTCAGTGTGACTCCTGGACAAGAGGAGGCCACAGAGAAAAGCCGCCCCTGACATAGAGATGGACCATCCCTATACTGATTTCCATTCTGAGTTTAAAAATTTATATTCAAAGGCTTTGATTGCATCTGTCTTTGGAAAAATGGAACAAAGTGATCGCTAAGATCCCTTTTATGAGTTTAAGCTCCTGTCTTGGAGGCAATCTGGCTGCCATTTAAATAAGACCATCTTTAAAACAACAGGGTTTGGGGAGAATGGGTCTTCCATCGAGTAGACATCTTGGCGACAGGCAAAAGGAGTTAATTCTGAGCAAGTAAAGCAGGAAAGACATGCATTGGAAATGCTCCTGCAAATTCCCAGTTTGGCCAGAAAGACTAGAGCCACTAAGAAAATGAGTGGGACCCAAGAGCAGCCAAGCTGTAGGGACCACTGCTTGAGCCCTGCCTCCTGTCCAGGCCTCAGTTTTCTTAAGATTCTGAGTCAACAGGTTCACCATGGGGATTAAGCACTTGGGCCAGGAGCAGGTGGCCTGGTTTCAGATCTCAGTTCCTAGAGCCTCAGGTAAAGTCCATGTCATCTCTATGCTCTGTCTCCACATCTGTAAAATAAGGATAATACAGGTACCAACTTGCACTTGTTACCTTTTGCTGTGAAACAAATTACCCCAAAATGTAGTGTTTTAAAACAGCAATAAATATTGATTGTCTCTCAGTGCCTGTTGGACAGGAGCAGCCTAGCTGGGTGGTTCTCAAGAGGTTCAGTCTGATGGGGACTAGGTCTGCAGTCATCTGAAGGCTCAGTTGGGGCTGGAAGATTGTTTCCAAGGTGGCTCGCCCATGTGGCTGGCAAGAGCCTCAGTTTCTTCCTCAGTGGGCTGTTTGGGTGTCCTCACAACAGGATGGTTACCTCCCCTTAGAACAAGTGAAACCTGAGAGAGAGCCAGGCAGAAGCTATGTCCTGTGTGTGACCTAGCTTGTCACATCGCATCATTTCTGCTACATTCACTCCTTAGAGGAAAATAAGTCCAGCCCTCGAGCAAGGGGAAGAGGCTTAGGCTCCACCTTTTGAAGGGAGGAGTGTCCAGCTCCATTTCCTAACCACCACACTACCTCACAGGGTTCTTATGAGGATTAAATGAGTTAACACAAGTGCTTAAACCAGAGCCTGAAATATGGTAATTAGCACGTGTTTGATTGCTATTATTATTATTATCATTATTACTACTACTATTACTATTACTGTTATTATTCTTCCCTACCTTGCTAGTCCTCCTGGTCCTCATTGTTTCTTCTCCCCAAAGTTACCTCAGAGGTAGGGGTTGATCCCTCCGTAGATTATTGGTTCCTAAAACCCCTTCAGGGAAGCAGGGGCTGTTGTTGTTGTTGTTAATCCTCATCTGAGGGTATTTTTCCATTGATTTTTAGAGAGAGTGGAAGGGAGGGGAAGAGACAGAGAGAAACACTGATGTGAGAGAGAAACATCAATTGGTTGCCTCCCTCATGTGCCCCAATCAGGGTGGGGGATTGAGCCTGCAACTGAGGTATGTGCTCTTGACCGGAATCGAACTCAGGACCCTTCAATCTGCAGGCTGACGCTCTATCCACTGAGGGAAACTGGCTAGGGTGAAGCAGAGGCTTTTTTAGGACTGGCCCCACCTTATTTATCTGCCTCAGGAAACCAAGGTAAGTCACACTAGGATTCCAACCGAGGCGGACAGGCCTGGCCACCAGTGCGAAGGCGTCAGCCCCTCTTTGCACATCGTAGTCCTCACAGTTGCTACAAGGCTGACCCTTGCTCTCCTCTCTTCATCTCAGACAACATACCCGCCACAGTGAGCTGAGGAAATTCCCCAGGCAAGTGATTGGCTTGGGGACACACTCTTGCCCAGTCGGCACCCCGGTGTGATGGGGCATGGGGTTGGGCTTTGAGGGCAGAAACCACCAGCAAGTGAGCAGAAGAGCCAGTGAGATGGGCCCTGGCTGCCACAAGCCCACAACCCACGGGGCAGAGCCACAGACGCCCACCTGCGGGGTCACACGGGCTGAAACCCAGCCAAACCCCTGCTGCCAAGCTCGAGACTATGCTGCATCCACCCCGAGAAAGGACTGCCTTTTCCTAACTGTCTGCTCAGGGTGGCACTTTGTCTAATGTAAATAAAGCATTGCGTATGGTAGCTGTGGCCCGGCTGCCCCATCTCATTTTGAGACCCCTGCCCTGGGCCCCTCCTAAGTGAATACTTCACAAGCAGGTGGCTGATCACTCGTTCCACTTGGGTTTAGTTTTCTCATTGCCCAGTTTCGACTTGGGTTTCTTTATTTTGGCTGGTAGACCTGCTGTGGACAGTCGAGATGACCGGCCTGAGGCACATGGAAGCGCATGCCCTTCCCCACTGTTGCAAGTGCTGGAACTCCGCCCAGTGGCTTGTCTGCCTGGGAACCCTGTCCCTCCTTGAAGAAGGAGCACAGCGAGCTTCTCCGAGCACAACTTGGCCCTCCTTTACCCCCCGGCCTGGTTGAGGGGGTTACTTGGCTGTGAATGCTCAGGGCAACTGGAGGGGGGGGCGTGTAGTGGGGACCATCCTTGACAAGATGGAGCAGAGGTGCAAGGAGATATTCTGATCTCTGCAAGGACTAGATAGATAGATAGATAGATAGTTAGATGATAAATACATGATAGAGAATAGATAAAGATATAGATTAGATGATAGATAGAAAGATAGATAGATAGAGAGAGAGATGGTAGAGGATAGATAGATGATAGAGAATAGATAGAGATATAGATTAGATGATAGAAAGATAGATAGATAGAGAGAGAGATGGTAGAGGATAGATAGATGATAGAGAATAGATATATAGATTAGATGATAGATAGATGATAGTGGTAGAGGATAGATAGATATATAGATGATAGATGGTAGAGGATAGATAGATAGATAGATAGATATGTAGATAGATAGATGATAGATGGTAGAGGATAGATAGATAGATGATAGAAGATAGACTACTCACAGAGAGGTTTGAAGAGAAGCAATGGGCCAGTAAGCATTTGCATACAAACTTTATAAAAATTTTCTAGAGGAAAAGTAAAAAAACACACACCACAAAAACAATAAAAAACAGACACAGAAAAGTCCCCCCCTCCTGTTTGGTTAAAAATATAAAATAAACAGGCACAGAAGTCATCCCTCCATGGGACCTTCCCTTTAGCTCAGAGCTACACTGTCTATATTTACACTTGGTGGGTCCTTGTTTCCATTGCTACCATTTTATCTAAGAGTGGAGAGGCAAAGGAGCATGACAATAATAGAAATTAATGACCATGTGCAATAAATACCACACTCACCAGGGCTCTGCCTGTGGTTTCCTGCCGTCTTGTCTCCAAAGAACACGTGAGGTCGGTCCACCCTGATGACTCCAGGCCCAGCCCCATGGACCAAGGGGATTTGATAACTGTGCACACCTGGGCCCATAGCACGCTCTGAGCCCACCGTGGGCTGGTTAAAGGGGCTAGAGCAGTGGTTCTCAACCTTCTGGTCCTTTAAATACAGTTCCTCATGTTGTGACTCAACCATAAAATTATTTTCGTTGCTACTTCATAACTGTAATGTTGCTACTGTTATGAATCGTAATGTCAATATCTGATATGCAGGATGGTCTTAGGCAACCCCTGTGAAAGGGTCGTTCGACTGCCAAAGGGGTCTCGACCCACAGGTTGAGAACTGCTGGGCTAGAGAGTTTTCAGTGTAACCTCTACCAGGAAAATGATAACATTTCTAGCTTTATGCCACTTGGTGGGACTTCACAACAGAGAATGACAGTAAGAGATAAAGTTTGGTGAGGTCCCAAGAGTTTTCAGTGTAACTTCTACCAGGAAAATGATAACATTTCTAGCTTTTTGCCACTTGGTGGGACTTCACAACAGAAATGACAGTAAGAGATAAAGTTTGGTGAGGTCCCAAGAGGCCATAGCGTATAGTACAAGATTTCTCGCCCTCAGCCCTATCAGCATTTGGGGCAATTCTTTATTGGGGAGCTGTCCTGTGCATGTAGGAGGTTCAGCGGCAGCCCTGGCCTCTCCCTTACCCACTGGATGCCAGGAGCAACTCCCCAGTTGTGACAATAAAAAATGTGTCCAAATATTACCAAATATCTCTGCAGTGTGTGTGTGTGTGTGTGTGTGCAAAATCTCCCCAAGAAGTACTGCTCTGGTGGTTAAGAGCAAGGGACACTGGGGTGTGACTGCCTAGAGATGAATCCCAGTGTCTGCAACTTGCAGGAGCACTGAATGAGTTAATAAACAGATAGTCAGACCATATAGTCTGTCCTCCAAACCGGGGCAATTTGAGAGTGAAAGGGAGTTCTAACAGTAATTTCATAACCTGAGACTGTCTTTGCAAATGGGTATGTGTGGTTGGTCCATAAGACCATATAGTGTTGAGCATCGAGCCTGACCTGGTGTCTGCTCGATGACCATTGTGCTATGTGCTCTACATGCAGGAACTTCATTTAACCCACCCCGCAAAAAGACCTTATGAGGTTGGTATTATTATTATTATAGCCTTTCTATATATGGAAAGACCGAAGAACTAGAAGCTAAAGTTCAAGGTCACATGGTGAGTTGTGCAGCCAAGATTCGTATCCTGACAGGTGAGTTTCCAAACCCGTGTTCTTAACCACTGTGCCCACATGTGCTCAGTGCCCAGGGAAACAGCGCTCCCCGATATCCGTGGGACCCCACATGAAGTGCTAGCTCTAGGTCACTCACAGTTTCAACATTAAATCCACTTACAAAGCTGGGTGCTCAGGGTTCATTGTGATTAAACGCAGATACATGAAAATCACTGTGGAGCAGGAAATGTGGGTGGCAGTGCCCAATCTCATTCCCAGTTTTGTAGAGCTCAACAGGTGCACCATCCCATTAGGAAGTCACTGTGATTATCTAAGAATGAAACAAAAATGTTATTTTTCCATTCATATTTATTGTTTATCCTGATGCCTACTAAGTTGTTAGGACATAAAGTCTTGTTAAGTCATTTGGAACCAGCTGCCTAACAAATGGAGCTGTTGGTTATTTTTTTGGCCTAGGGGTGCCATGAAGGCGATGGAAAGGAGAAAGCTTGGGAACCTCTGCACTCACCCTTTTACCATTGGGAGAACCCTGGAGGGTAGTGATGGAGAAGTCCTAGCTCAGAGACCTCACCCTGGTTATCCACTCTGGGGAAACCTTTCTGTCCCCATGTCACTTCAGCCTGGGATAATGGAATTCGCTCTCTCTCTTTCTCTCTCTCTCTCTCTCTCCTCTCACACACACAGCTTTCCTTTCCCTCACACAAAACGATTGTCCTCTGACCCCAGTCAGGCAACGCTCCTTTCCATCTGAGTTCCCTTAATTTCAATCTCTTGCCACTTTTCAACTGTGTCAGGAAGCAAACTGGTTATTTTACAACTTGGAGTTAGTCAAGCTTCAAGTGGAACATCTCCCACTGACATGCAAACTGCCCCTCAGGTCAGAGGTCACATTGTCAACTCAGACCCATATGACACAGTAATAAGCAGACCCACAAACGCACCCCTCCCCTCAGAAAGCACTGAGACTGCCACACTGGACCCTTCGTAAATACACAGAGACACTCACAAGACAGAAGGGCAAGTGGGAGAGGCCTGGCAGTGTGGCAAAGGGGAGAGGGGGTGATGGCGTGGGTGGTGAGGGAGTTGGCACTGTTAGGGCCACAAGTGCACTTTACACTCTCTAACTGCCTGACTTACTATAACAAAACTAGATGGCATGGGCGTGGTGGGAATGTGTGGGGCAGAGGAGGGGACATGGCTTTTTATTACTAACCAGGGGCCTCCTTGGACAAGGCACCGCTTTCTGTGCCATAGTTTTCTCATCTCTAAGGGGGTTTGATTTCTCCTTGCTTGTCAAACTGGGGTGCCTGCGGCACGTTCACAGCCTGTGTGTGCACCTGAGAGCACTGGGTTGTCCTTCTGGGGTGTCAAGTTTATTCAAGGTCACTCTTTTTCCCCAAGGCGTTTTATACCATTGCTCAGAATGCAAAATTTACGTGTATTTTCATTTCAGTAGCTAATAATTGATGACACTTCTCAGGCAATTATTGTGTGGTGAGTGCTGTGTTAATCTCTTTATATGATCCTCATAATTACCCAATCAGATGTCTTATTCTTCCCATTTTGTGGATTAAAAAACTGGGGCACAGAGAGATGAAACCCCCCCCCCCCCAAGTCACACGTTATTAAGCAATGATAAAACAAACAATTCTCCCCCTATCACCTCCCCCCAAATCTGGATCCATTGCAAGGTGCTTTGGAATTTACCCCCTCAAACCCGTGGGGCTTCTTTGGTGAAGCCTGAACAGCGCAGGCCGAAATGACTTCCAAAGTCCTGCTCCGACCGACACTCCTGGATCAATTTTAGCTAAATCGGTGGATGAAAGGCTTCAGCGCACCAGGTGCCACTGGAGTATGGGAGAGGCTGGAGAGGCCTCGGGGTTCTGAGGGTTCCCTAGGTGAGGTTTCTCAGCCTGTGGGGCGCTCCCAAACCTGCCGGTGGACGTGAAATCCCTTTCTAGACGACCACCTTCCGGCCCAGCGGGACGTTCCAGCCGAGGTGTGTTCCCAGCCCGGCACTTCCTCGTTCCCGCGCGCCCGGGCTCGGCTGCTACGCCCAGCGCCGCGCTCCTCGGTCGGGAGGGGGTCAGAGGGGAGG